ATTTACTTTGAGTAAATAAATATTGTTGATAATTTAAATCATTTTGCCGGAATAAAGCACCTAGGCCAGCGAAAATGTTGCTTTTAACACAGCGCTTTTATGAATAGGGAGGTTTTTGATTGGTGTTGCTGATTTCTGGGAAGTAAGCGTGGCGGCTGCAAGTCGGATAGTAAAGAAAGTGTCTATTGCTATAGCGGCACTTCCCCATCATTCATTAGAATGCCATAAACAAGCAGAGAAATTGAAAGCGCAATGCGCATATTTCTGCACATGATAACAATATTTTTAATAAAAGTCGTCTGAAGCAGCGGTTTGAACTGTTTTTTACTGGGTGACAGTGGTTATGGAGGCAGTCCTCTTAAAATTTTCGCACTTTACTCTTAAGTTTTTGGGCCCCTCCAAATTCCCGCTTGAACCTCAAATGCAACATCATTGCAGTCCCAGTCTTTTAATTTTTGATTACATTGGAGTAGCGCTCTGCCAATGTTATTAACATATTGTACTTCATTCAGTACTTAAAAAATTTGGAAGACGATTTCTATTTTTATTTCCATTATATTAGAATAATTTAAAAAATACAACGGATAATTGCACGCAAAAATGTAAAAAATATGAGTTGTCACGCAGTTTTCATCTATTCACAAGGAAAATTTTTGTGAACTTAGCTTAAAATATTCACAATGATCAAACTAAGCAGAAGTTAGGTAACCAAAGCTTGGGGAAAACGAAAGTGTCATATCAGCCTATCTAGCGGTTAGCTATCCTCCGGTTAAAGGTTGAGTTAATCGGACATTGTGAAAACGGGCATAAATGTGAGTCTATAAAATGAATTTTATGCGAATGCAATATGCAAACTAAAGCTTTATATGTCGATAGAAGCTCAATAATGAACTCCTCTATAGCTATTACTTTTTTGGTTTCCTAAAAAATTCGTGATAACTTTTTGGAAATTTTGCCATGCTTCCTTTTGTGAAACACTCAATTTTTTCGAGTTTCGTATATTAATTTAAAATCCCATATTTTGGGGAAAAGCTGCATTTTGACTTTTGTCAAACTTAACTGAAAAACCAAATATTTTTTGTTTTAGTTGTAAGTCAAACATTAATAAAAATGGATCACTTAACAACCGTACAACGCCTTAAAATTGTTAAAAATTGTGATAGAAACGTGGCAATTGGTAAAATTTTAAGGAAATTACAGATATTGTAAGGCCTATTGGATTTTCTGGTTCAAATATCGCTAATCTAAGTGAAGGTGTAGTCGGAGATCCAATATGCATGTTTCTCAACGTTCTCAAGAGCTTGGACTTTCTTACGGCACATTATGGCGTATTTTGCGCTCGGACTGACAGCCAAATCTGTATTAAGCCCAACTTAAACCAGCTGACCACTCACAAAACTGTACATACGTCGATTGTGTACTTGAACAACAAGCAGTGGCACAACAGCAAAGGAACATCGGTTACGAATTCAAACGAATTGTCGAATTGGGGACTCCGAGAATCCTTAAGTAGTTGAAAAGATGTCACTACCCTCTAAAATGCTTACTATCTGATGCGCTCTTTGGTCCAGAGTTGTGATTGGACCTTACTGTCTCACTGACAATTCGGAGTATTATGATCGTATGATAACCGACCTTTTTTGGTTTACAATTTAAGAACACGACTTTCGCAATATGTGGATTCAAGAAGATGGTGTCACTTTCCACACAATACAAACGAATATGGCTTTATTGCCAAAGAAATTTTCCGGCCGCATAAGCTTTGGTTTTTTGTGGGCCTACGCGGAAGATCATGTTTGTGCGAATAAATTTTTAACTCAGGAGCACTTGAAAACCATGACTCGTCAATATAATATTTGGCTGAAGTGGTAGAAAATTACCAAAGCGGAACGAAGTTTGCGAAAATTCGCGAGACGGTTATTCGAATGTACGAGTATAATAGTAAAGCTCAAAATTTTTAATAAAAAAGGAATTTTATGAAAAAATTGGCACGTTGTAACCGCTGGAGCGATTTTGGCCGGGCTCTTCCTGCTATTTGTGGTTTCACCTCTTGAAGTTTTTTCCAAACAATGGAGGCACATACAGTTTATACTAGCCGCCTCCTAACGGCTAGGAGCTTTTATGAGGAGCATTAAACGTGTATATTGCAGTTATAAAACATAACTGTTTTTAAACTCATTTTGGATGTTGAGTAATCCTCATCACTGAGATGGAAATGTTAATAACTGAATTTACGTTACAGTGCACTTAGTCATTATCTTAATCTAAAGATCGTTAGATATGTTTTTTAAGAAAAATCGGAAAAATTCGTTTTTCCAAAAATATATCACTTTCGTATAATCACATAACTCAAATAAATAATTATTATCGCCCTAATACCAAAACAGAACTTGAATCTATAACCAGAAAACTGATGTTGATTGAAACAATTTAAGCACATTTTCGTAATAATAGTGGGTATTCATGATACGATTACCCCTCACAGTTACTTCACCGGGGCTATGTTTCATACTCTGTTTTCCTGTGACTTCGATTTCGATTTGAAATTACCTGTCATTACGCTTGCTGCTTATAATCTTGGTAAAAAGACTAGATACTCTAGTCAATTTTAGACTAAATAATACTTGCGCGTATTGTCTCGGTGGGCAATATAGAACTCCCTTCAAATTCATAACAATCATTTATAATCGTTTAGCATTTAAGCTATGCACTTTACCTGAAGTCATTCCCAAAAGTATGTAATTGAAACTTTATTGTCTGTTGGGTAGCCACATGTGTAGTATAAATGTAAGTATGCAGATGCGCGTGAGGTGTATCCGTACTTCAGTAGCAGCAGGCAATCGGTCGGTTGTTTGGTCGGTCGGTCGGTCCGTTAATTTGTCTCGATGGTTAGTTCGTTGTTCAAGAGCGTAGAATGAAGAACATGTTGCCGCATATTGATACGACTTGGAAATGTGAGCAAATGCACTTCAATTGAAGAGGATGCAATAAACGTGCTGCGTGTTGTGGCCATGGCAATTGTTGAAGCGCGATTGTGTGTTGCCAAAAGTAGTAGCCAAGCGCCATAAAATGTTGTCGACAGTCCAGATGCTTCCTCGCCCCAAGGAGTGCAATTTTGTTTGGCAGCATTTCACTGACACAATACCAACACTGTATTTATTTTGCTATTACTGAAGTTAATACACATTACACTCTGCATGACACTTCCATGGGTTATTTCATATATATTCGTACATACATATGTAGCTGAACGCGAGGTAAATGCGTTTGCCTCCAAAATAAAGCTTTCAAAGTGCGCGTATTTACTGGTGTATAGTTTTAATAATGTATATTTGTATGTGCTCTTAACGGCTTCAAAAAGCTGTAAAATTTATAGTTAAGGGATAAAAAAAAACTTGCAACTGTCGAAGTACTTGGTCCAAATGAACGTTACAATAGATAAAAAATAGTAGGACCTAAGTAGAGAGTTTGTGGGAAGGGTTTCACACTCTTTTTTTTATTTTCTACAAAATATCTGAGGCTCGTCTTGGGCAGGAAATTAAGCTGTTTACAGAGCTCGGTAGGAAAGATGAGTAAGACGGCTATTACCCTTAATACCTGCAAAGATGCGATTGGCCGGAAATGGGGCAAGTTACCTAAAATAGCACTTCAGAGCACATTTCCAGACGATAGCGCTCCTGTGTATTAGCAGAGCACTTCAGACCACACCTATTAAGACAACGAATGGACTGTATAAGTAAAGTAAGACTACAAAAAGGCATCTGACATCTTAAAAAATTCTTAAGAAGATTCCGTTGTTGTTGTTGTTGTAACCGCAAAATTATTCCCCCAAAGTACTTTTTGGGGAATGTTGCGGGAGTGACAGTCCTTGGCCGGATAAAAATCCGGGTCGTTCCGATATAAAGACGCGACTGTCGCGGGAACTATTGGATTTTAGTCGCCTCTTACGACAGGCATGCCTTACCGCGGGTAAATTCTTGAGCCCCTAACCCGCAGGGGTTAAGAAGAAGATTCCATCTACCGCATTGCTGCATATAATTCACTGACTTCGCTAATGATTTCAAGGGACAGAATAATACCAGCAAGCATCGACTCAAAACTAAACCACAAGGTCGGTGGCAGAGTCTACTCAAGGGATCTTAGTATTTACAAATCGTTTCAATTATTCTGTAGTGTTTTTCAGGCGTAATTGATGGCTATACATGAAGCAGTCAATTGTTTCAGCTCAATGGGGCTCTTAGAAAATCGTACTCTTATGTTTTCGAATAGCCTGGCCGCCTTAAGATGCTAACTAAAGATGAAGAACCAAGACGATAAGGTCAGAATAGAACAGAAAAAGGTAACGTGACTTTATAGAGATAAAGAGAAAGAAGATATCTAAAGTTATAAGTCTTGTTACAGGACAAATTCTATTGGGTAGGCACGTAGAAAGTTTGGACCTTCTATCTAACGACTTCTGCGGAAGATGCAGAGAAGAAGTAGGTCCTGAAACCTTAAGGCTAAGGCACTTTCTCTGCGATCGACACGCACTTTCGGGGGGTAAGTTAAAGTTCGTTCGGAGTCGGCAATATTTGAATACTTCAGCGAAAACTCCACACATTGGTTTGATTAGCGGTTGGTGACTATTAGGCTGTTCAGTCGTATCACAATAGACAACCACTTCAACCAACCAACCAACACTGTTCTTGATGACTACCAAATCAGCATGTACTACACAGATTAAATATGGATGCAGCTATAGATTTCATTTACTTCTGTGAATGTCTGTTCACCAGTAAATAAGATGAAAATATTGGTTATAAACAGAAAAAAGGAGCAAAATGTCAAGCGTGCGACCACACTAAATTTCTAACATCTGCAATCATATTTCACAATGCGCAACTGCGTGCGTATCTGTTCGTAGTAAAGATTTCAGTCTTTAGATTGTTTTAAATAGCGCGCTAAGAAAATATAATTTATTAAATCGAAATTGTAATGGCAACTCTAACGATAAATTTTTTTCGATAACAGTTGCTGAAATAGAAAGATGGATTAGTTTACCATCCTTGAATATCATAATAATAACATTCCATTTTAAAAAATCAAACAATTCCTAAAAATGAAGGAGAAAATGAGGCGGAACTTTTGGATTTCTCCCGAAATTGAGTGTATGTTAAACTTGCTACGCGAAGTTTACAAAATACAAGGCAACACAGCAACAACAAATTATACCTTCATACAAATCGCTAACAGGATGAAGAAACGAGGATTCCCCAATAAGACAGCTGCACAAATACGACGAAAGTGGTTCCAAATGAAATCTGCTTATTTATGCTATAAACGCGGAAATGTGGAAAGGTTAGTAAAAACAGAACTATAACATGAAATTATTAATATCCTGTATCCATGAAAGATTCATTCGAGTGAAATTTATATTTAAAGATTGCTTTTAATACCTGAGAGATTTCGAACAACAATAGCAGAATTTGTGGACACTGAAATAAAACCAAAATACCGGGACTTATCGCCGTCACCGGAAATCGTGCCACCAACACCCCCGCCTCCACCGGAACCAGCACCTGTGCAAACTCCAAAACCTACCATCAATACTAATTCCAATAGTAAAATAAGAGAACCAACAAACTCGACAAAACCACCTTTAAGTAAGTACACACAATTATTCAATAAACACTTTTATATGGAGTCTTTTTATTTTTAGACGCTGGTAAAGCTATTCGCAGAGATTGTAGATTTGATGATTTTCTCATGCGAGTAAAGCAGACACATAAAATTATCAGCAATGATTTTACGAATATGCAGAAAATTTTAATGGATTTTGAACATGCTTGTCAAGCCGAAAGAGATGCTAAGATCGTGACATTTATTAAAAATATAAAGTATGATTTCTAATTAACATATTAAGAAAGAAAGAATCTAACTTAATACTTTACTTTTTTTTTTCTTAAAAGTGCACAAAAATTAATATTTATTATAGATGTATAAGAAATTTTTTTGGAATTCCCACATATATTGTTTTAGCATATCCCTTATTTATTTTGGTTTTGTAGTTCCCTAATGGTTCCAGCTAGACGCAAGGTCAATTCAGAAAAACATTGTAAAAACATCAAAAAAAAAAAGTTTTTTAATATATTAAAAATTCTGAACTGATCCAAATTTTTCCTACTCTTACTTTCTAACCATATGAATTACTGACAGAATGAAAACATTTTAAAATATACAAACCCATAATTAAAAAATCATATTCGTTTACTTAGTGTAACGATTTTAAAACATTTGTCACTATTATGTATCACAACTGTGTTGTCTGATGTCTGCTCTGTATCATGGCTTACCCTGCAAAAATTTTTGGACCATATGCTCCATTGGAGTGGTCCAATAGGTACTCCTCTAAAGCCTACAATTAGAGCAATTCAGATCTCGCTGTTTTGCCGATGCTTTAAGGGCGGGGTAGGGTTTTGAAGGCATAAAAAAACAGGTTTTTACAGATTTTTTTTTGGGCGTACGGTGAAAGTAAATTTATTTCTGATTATTGTACATTAAAGAGTAGTAATTGAACTATATTCTGCGAGATATTGGTTGAAAAATATTGAAAATTGACCGAATGGCAGCAATTCTTCGCAGGCGCCNCTATCCCAAGGACATATCAATGTTAATTGGACCATATATTTTGTATGGATTGTGGCTAGTTTTGGATTACTCCATTGTCCGCGTGGAGTACATATTTCACTCGTATACTGTGCACATGAAAACGCAAAAATTAAAAATCGAATATGAATTTGAAAAAACATAATTAAGTTTTTTTTTTCGTAATGTATGAAAATTTCTGTATTAGAGAACAGAAATACAAAGGGTAATATTTGTGAGATTAAGTCTTGTATCACCTTCTATGATTTCACTGTCATTTGTCAGTCTAGAATTTTTTATTCTTTTGATAATCTTGGCAACTCTACGTGCTATTATTTATTATCTTTTCTGCTTAGAATAAACACGACTTGCTGATTAAAGTAAATATTTATCTTTTAAGTGTGTAAAAAGTATCCTGCACCATGTCATTTATATATTTGATACCAGTTGCAGTATTTTTATTATTCCAGATTACATTTTTGGGAACGTAAGTAAATTTTCTAAAAGGCTGATCGAGAAATTGCGTAGCCATACAAAAGATATCTTCTAACAAATGGATTTCATAAAAAACAATAATTTTGCTCTGTTTAATTACCATTATTCGTTAATGGCAAAGCTTGAATTGCATTTAAATAAGCCACAAATTAGGCGTTATTAAGATTTTTCCATTCCTAGATAGTTTGCATGTTTATCTATATAGTGGCAAGTTTATCTCTGATGTAGAAGGCTTGTACTCAATGAATGTTTTGTGCAAGAATTGAATTGTATATTTTTTATGTTTCAGTTATATTGCCGCTGTTCTACAGGGTCATGTAGTACCTACAGTGCCATATATAAGCGATGATGGCACATACTCACCAGAAAGTTGCGTATTTGGGCAACTCATAAATATTGGCAGCATACTATGTAAATGATTTATGATACACAAGTGAATAAGATTTCATAAATATAAATTTTTTTTCAGTGGGTATCACAATTTACATACGTTATCGACAAATTCAACAACTCTATAGTCATCATCCTGATTTAGGCTCTTTACTTTTGCGGTACAATAAGATTGCATTTTGGTTTGGTTTGGCTTCTTGTTTAGGTATAAGTATTGTTGGTAATTTTCAAGAGACCAATGTACGTATTGTTCATTTTACGGGCGCATTTTGCTGCTTCGGTTGTGGTACGGTGTACTTTTGGTTGCAAGCAATAACTACCTACATGGTATATCCAATAGCCGGGACAAAATTATATGGTCATATACGATTGGGCATGTCTTTATGTTGTACCATACTTTTCATTTTGATCGCGATTACTGGTGTGATGTCACATATCCTATTCAAAGGCGATAATCCACGTCAATGGTAATTTTTATATATATCTAGGAACTATTGGCTAATACTTCAAATAATGTAAATATTTTTTTTTAGGTACCCTTCGGATGGTGGCTGGTACTTCCATGTAGTTAGCTCAATTTCTGAATGGATTATGGCTACTATATTCTGCTTTTATATACTAACATTCACTGAAGAATTCCGTGATGTACGACTTGATCATCCAGAGTTGAGCTTCATTTCCCATACGATAACTGTTTGAAATATTAAAATGTATTCATTTATCATGGATTTAATATTTCAATTAATAATATGTACGTATGAACATATACATATACATATATAGCTTTTCCCCCAAGATCTGAAAGTGCTGTGATAAGCTATTGTTTTTTTTTTTGTTTTTGCTAGAATGTAATTATTACACAGCAAATATAACATGAACTATTCATTTATGAAATGATTTTTCCTTCAGTGAATTACATAATATTTGCATATAATTCAACGTTTTAAAGTTTGCAACGAATTAAAGCCATTAAAAATTATTATAACGTGTATTTGCCATTATCAGCTGAAATGTTTTGAGATGATTATAGTTTTTTTTTTATCCAAACTATGTATATTGAATTGCATCTAAGATAATAGAATGATAAGTTAAAGGTCTATTTTCAAAGTGCATTCATTTTTTCTTTTTCTTAAATAAAAAGTAATATTTGTTTATAAAATAATAGAGTATTTTATTGAAAATGTTACCAACGCATAAAACTCTTCTCCTTTGGACGGGAAATATCAAGCTAGTTTTTAAGATTATCAAATAAAGTTAATCGTAGTTAGTTTCTACAATATATATTCCATAAGGCAGATAGACCAAAACATCCCATTCCATACAATAGATATATGGTTTGAATCCATTGTCTGCACCAAGGTTTGAAATTTACGTATATACACAGACAAGTGTCCGCAATAGTCGAGCAGTTAGAATGGCGTACCAATATTGGAATAACCATTTGAGCGCTGGTTCGACGTGCATTCAAAAATTACAGAAAATTAATTAATTTTTCTTATTCCGGTCACCCCTCAGTAGGAAATCTCCAGCCCTCAGAGTGTATTTATGACATGAAAAAATATAAATCCATCGATTTTCTCTATTTTTAAGCATATATTTTTTTGTACATACAATTTCATTCGTACATAATATGAACATTCATATATTTATTTAATTTAAGCTTAATTCGTATATTATAGTTTTTAAAATTGCATTGCCTTACGTTGGAGTTGCAGCATATTGTGCTATATTTTTACAATGTTCATAATAATTAATTTGATTTTTATTAACTTACATACACATCTACATATATATCCTTATTGTAAATTTATAATTACTAATGTAATGCGAATTGTTTCTGATAACTGATCAATGTAGCATCGGTGTGGCTTTGTGGCAAAGGCTCATCTTTGATCATTAAATCGGGAACTGAAAATGGACAAAAAATATATGTATGTACATAGTTATATTCATATGCTGTGGTTTATTAAAGTATGTACATATGAGTTTGTAGATTCATAGTACATATAGTATAAAAATGAAAACGTACTTGTATTCCATAACGGACACGGACATTGATCTATTATTTTTACGCCTTCGTTTGAAATTCCTTCTGGAAATTTACAGAAAAGAATTTGAAAATATAAGAGGATGATTCTTTTTTAAATACGTTTAAATATACACATATTTTAGTATTATTGTTTTAAAATAATTCAAAATGGGCCATCGGAAACTTTGAAACTAATTTCATCTAAATTGCGAGGGCCGTTTAATGAATTATATATATATTTTTTTAAATTAGCGTGCAGTAACTTTTTATGCAATTTTGCTTAATTTAACCGCCATCTATAATTATACTGTAAACGTTTGACCAAACAGCGCCATTGAGTCTGGTTTGATAGCCACTGAAAGCCAAGAATCTCCTGAATTTTAAGAATGAACCAAAAGAAAAAAAAAAAGAAAAACGAAAGCCACACTGGGCATCGCTATACGAGCTTCGACATATTCGAACAATGAAACGTGATATCTATCATCAACGATTGAGGATTCGTACTTCAGTAGGCTGTGGGAGTGTTCTTTCCATACAGCAATTATCAGAATACTACTTTGGTTTCTACATGAGTATGCTCCGGTCTTGAAACCTTTGGTGAGTCGCAGATTTTTTTCATAGAATTTTCAAGCATTACCCTTGTAGGCCAGATTCTCAAGCTCCTCGGCCTCTCTTCTCTCGTCTGCAAATGCATCTCACTTCCTTCATCCAGTTTTTTTCTCCACTGCATTTCGGCATTCCTCTTTCTGGCGTTGTGATGGCAGCCTATCGTCATCGAAACATACTTGTGTTTTTTGACGGGCCTTCTTTGATTCACAGAGACGGGTGCAATAAAATAGCTATGCGAGTCGATGCTAGGTCCTCGGAATGTATGTACATCTAGAACTCTTGAGACATGTCGTTCATCCGTAAATGGATTTTATTGTGCTTTATTCTGATAGTACAGACAACTATATTTCGAGTTGCGGTGAAGTCGATTAACCACAACCCATTTGTCATCGGTGCTGAATTCTACGCCAGTTGTGGCAAATATACCTTCTTTGCTTACCCTGGCGTTAAAGTCACCAATGACAATTTTGACATCGTGGCGCGAGGAGCGCTCATAAGTATACTCAGTCGCTAAAATTATAAAAATCATGAAGTAATAAATCACTTCAGATCTGAAAGGACAAGACAAGCGGTAACCTTCTAGTGAAAAATACCCTTTATTTATGCGACTTTCCTGATTCCTAAGCGAACTAAGATTATCATTATTAAAGGCATTAAACAAATCTATTGAGGATTTCAGGCAGCTGCTGAACGTGTTAGTGATTATTTTTTCAATAAATTTTCCAAGCAAAAATTCAATTATACAAACATTTATCACTTACCGGGATTGATAATGCTGTTGTAATTATTCGCACCCAATATCGGAGGTGAAAAACTAGTCTATGAGTGAATAGAACAGAGAATAATACATAAATATACTAGTAGCAGTTCATAGTACTTAAGACAACTTACAGTTGAATTGTTCGGATAGGTACTTCTCACTGACGGCGGTCCATAACCAGATAATGTCTGCGCAGGTATCCATTGAGTACTAGAAATGTTTATGTGTTAAAAATATATTTCAACCGACAAATGAGCATACAAAAAAAGATCGATAATATTTTTTTTTTTTTTTTTTTTGTTGTAAATTACTTTGTATTATATCTGTAGTAAGTTTGACAAGGTGTGTGATTGAAGATCATTTTTGTAGTGCAGGTATCTGTCATTAACTTCGGGAAATGTCCCACAGTGCGATACGGCCGCTTCATTCGCCTTCTTCTTCGGTAATTTCCATTCTCGAACATATTTTCATATTGAGGATCTAAAGACCAATAATTTCCCTTTCGTTCGCCAGTACCTTCACGCGGTACTTTAACAAAGCATTCGTTCAGGCTTAAATTGTGTCGAATTGAATTTTGCCAACCTTTTTTATTTTTTTCAAAATACGGGAAATGCGATGTTATGTAACTGTAAATTTCATTTAATGTAGCACGCTTTAGTGGAGAATTCTAAAAAAAAAAAGAACAACAATATTTAAAAAATAGTTTTTAGACGTTAATTAACTAATAAAAGCGCTTGAACGCCTGAAAGTAGCCTATAATTTCATAAATTTCTTACTAAATACCTGAATGGCCATAGCAATGAGTGCCACATAACTGTAAGGCGGTTTGGTATTATTTATATCTGTTATTTGAGACGCACATCTGCAAGAGATATTCATGAATACATACATACATACATATATGTAAATATAAATTTTAAAGTATTAAACAACAAGGAGAAAAACTACTTACTTCTCTTTGGTTGCTTCATAATTATATTTTAATTCGGAACAATTTTTTTCTGGTGATGCTCTTATAACTGAGTTATGCATATTATCAGTTAAGCAATTAATAAATCTAGAAATAATTAGGAACAATGCGAAAATTAATTTTCGAAACAAATTAAATAGATTTAAAAAAATTTCATATTCTGTAATCCACATAAAAACATGTATAATACGAGTATATATAAAAGGCTCTGTCCTGAATGACCAATAAGAAAAAAAATTTCAGGAATAGTAGAAGTAGACCTGAGAACGGTATATTCGATAAAATCGATTTTTGTTTATCGTTTGATTTACATGAAACTTAGTACCCATCACTGCCTAAATTGATATATGGAACACTTTTTCTTCCAGGAAATTCCAAATTTTTTCATAAAGTAGGTGAATTTTCCTTGTCCCTGTACGAAGAAAAATTAAAAAAAAATTAAAAATTGAGTTTTTTGTAGCGTGTTTTACAAAAAACGTCAATTTATGCATAAAATTAGGCCACATATTGGCTTGTAAAATGAGTTGAAATCAAAGATAAAATAAATCCTTCGTTCAGGGATAAGAAAAACATGATTCAATAGTCGTGGAGAAATTTCGACTACCGATTTCAATAAAGTGGTTTTAAGAGAAACGCGTTAAAAATTTCGCCACCGGTCAAGCCATGATAAAGACGGCGGGCTATAAAACTCTCTAATTTCTACACTTTCGTCTCGATCGACTTGAAACTTGGGGAAAATATTCCTGACACTTTGTACTTTATAGCTCCGGATACCCGGGTATCGAGTAGTGCGGACAGCTGGATACTCTTTCTTTGCTCAACTGCCTAACATTTCAAATTTTCAATTTAGATTGTCAAAATTTCTTTCCCGCTTTGCGGCCGGCCGGAAGACCCGAGCTCAAATCATGGTACGACTAACATCCAAAAAATATAGAAAATTAATTAAAAAAAATTAAATTAAATTTTCTAAATGCAGTCAGCATACTCGTTTATTGCTCATTGCTAGAGCCAAATCTTGAGCTCTAATATGGATTAAAAAGTGTGATATTTTATAGTATTTAAACATCTTAACATAATAATTTTGTATTTTTAATAATAAAATAACCAACTTAAAGAATCCATTAAAAATCTTATGAGAAACAATTTTGTATACAAATATAAAAGACTTTTTCTTGCATGACTGACGGATCAACCCACAGCCCACTAAACTTGGAACCGTGAAACTTGGAGTAAGTATTCTGCGTATGATGTGGGCTCCAATAAGAAAAGATTTTCCGTGAAGTGGACTTCTAAATTCGTTCAAAATTTGATATATAAGCTGTTTTTTTTTTCCTAATTTACCAATCAAGAAAGTAGATCTGGGTCCCAACTATTCAAAAAATTTTGTATAAATGTACCTCGATTTATATGAAATTTCGTTCACAGGTAGCATTGGGCCTAAAGTAAATTATGGGAAAAACGTTTTCTTCCTTAAAGCGGACCTAGAGACGATCTATTTGAAAAAACTGACATCACATTCGGTCCATTATCAACGCGAACACTTCTACTTCTCGGACGCGGACAGGGGATCGATGACATGATTCGGTTTTGCTTAAAATGCAGAAACTGAGAGAAAGTTTTTTCCAAAGAATCTTCCGGGGAAACGGACGGAGGAAAAGTATGTACGAAAGAATGGTATTTATGGATCGATTTGCTTGAACGTTTGTCTCGACGGACATATATAAATAGTATCCATTAATGAAAGAATTAGGCATTTCTTTCATATATTCCATTGAATTCAAATGCTTTTGCTCTTGCATACCGCCAAAGAAAAATTTCTTTGCATATGTCCAGCTTAATAACTCATTTGAATCAATGGTGAGAGATTCCAACTCAATTTATGTCTTGGAAGATTTTTTGAAGATTTTGCCTACCGATAATCTCCTCCAATTTGCGAGCAATCTCATAGCTCAAAAGATGTTGTTATAAGTTTATCCCCTTTTCTTCTGAAGACACTTGAAAAAATTTAGACTCAAAATTATGAAGAACAATTCGTAATTTAACAAAACCTTTGAAACGTAAGGAATATACTTTGGAAGTTTTCATTCGTACACCTCATTGGAAAATTATAGCCGAACCAAATCTTGACTTAAATCTAAAAGAGATTCAGAAAGATTTTACCGTCAGATACAAACACAAATTATTCATTTTAATTTCGCTTGCTAATTTTTTGATGAATAGAAATTCAATCTTGTTTGACTAGGCTACTGCCGCCTACTGATTTGCAAGAAGAAAATGTGTTTTTTTTTATAGCGCAATTTCGTCTGGGGTCCATTATTGGTTTGGAGACATTATTGGATAAGAGTGCTCCAGCTTTCAAAATTTTCGATGCAGTACCAGAAGCAGAGGAAGACCTTTACTCCTTTGGAAGGACCAAGTAGAGAAGAACCTGGCTGAACTTGGTATTTCCAATTGGCGCCAAACAGCGAAAACAAGAAACGCATGGCGCAATGTTCTTTACTCGGCTATAAACGCGTAAGCGGTGTCTACAACAGTGAAACAAGTAAGTAAGCTGTCTCCTGACCGTAATATCTTGGAAAATATTCCTGGTATTAATTTATCTAATTGCGGTCGCTCCTCGACACGGAATGCCAAGCCTCCCCCGAGTGTATTTCCAACATTAAATTAAACTCGGCCGTTCGGCGGTGACTTTGAATAAACTTTTGTAAGTACCTCAATTCATTGGAAAACATAAAATCGCAAACCAAAATCGGAGGAGTAGCTCCGCCGAAAATCGTTCCGCGGTTACAAAGCGTCAATTATCTATTTTATTATTCAAAGAGAAAAAAAGAGTGTAAAAAAAGATGTGTGAGAGTAAATAGTGTAAAAAAGAGTGGACATTTATCAATGATCAAATTTGTGAAAAGAAGAGCACCGGATATTTTTGAGCACGAGTGATAAAATAAATTACTTTAGTTATTGTGGTAATGACTTTGTAAAACAGACACTTTCAGTTGTGTAGTTGTAGTAATTTTCATACTTATAGTAAAAATTTTTCTCTAACGAAGCCGTCGGGAATAGTGTGGAAGCAATATGTATTTATGTCCCGTCGTCTTTCCGTGGGTAAAAGGTATGCTGCAGTCAAGAAGGATAAGGGTAGCTTACTGGGCTATACGTATTCACCTACATATCTGGTGTAGTTACGAGAACAAGTTCCTAATTACCATTAGTAGGGTGATGTGGTAAGTTTTAAGAAATGGCGGTGCTACAAGCACGGGACGCTTCACTAGACAATAGAAAGTCCAGGCATGGAAACTTTTAAGATTTAGCGTTGTAGAATTAGCAACAAGAGTATGTCGGAATAAGTAAAAGCTTCCGACCTCCAGATTATTGCAGTATTTTCTACATAAAAATCTTCTAAAAGGTAAGCTGTGAAGCTAACTAATAATCTGTTTACTCATTGTCATAGGCTCTTTTAAATTCCTTTTCCTTTCGAGAAGTGGTGAAGTACACAAAGAAAAATTAGTTATTGCTCGATTTAATATAAAAATTTAAAGCACTTTTTTCGCAAGTAAACGAGGAACTAGGAACCACAGACTAGATTTGCTTGGGTCATCCTTTACATGATATACGTTGACTTAAGCTGGAACTTTATAGCATGATCTGCGTGTGCAATCAAATATGATTTGTTGCATTTAAGTACGTGTTCTGGAAAGTGGACCAGGACCTAATTTATACTAAAAATTCTTATTTATGGTCACTTTTTGTTCAGTTTACCATGCAGAAAATTGATCTTAAAAATCTTATTTATATTTCAACTTGAAATTGTCTTCTTTCTTTCGACTAGTGAACCTGAAACCGATCTATTGGAAATTTTATTTGAAACAAAACTGTTGATTTATCGCCAAGAGTGATATTCGTTTGGTTACAGATCAGGAAGATATCTAATCTGGGTCTCATATAGACCTAGCTATAATGACAGCCCACAAAACTGTGGTCACATGCGTGAACGAGGCGTTAGAGATACTGCTCTATTTCTTTTAGACATTACCATAAACATTACTTAAACAAATATTTTTTTTTTTTTTTACTAACTTGAGAAAATTCTAAGACGCATATCTCGATGAGATATGAATGGTAGATATTAAACACTTTCGTGGTAAAAGGAAAGCTCTTCCAAGTTCAAACTTTATTTTCATTTCGGCCACGAAATCAAACCTTTTTGCAATTAAAGTTATTAGTTGTCTAGCGCAATACAGCCGTGAATGTGCAGACTTGCTAATGCGGGTTATGGATTCAAGAATTTACCGCCGGTTAGAAATGCCTATCGTAAAAGGCGAATACAATTGTTTTCGCATCAGTAGTGTTTTTATACCGGGACAAAACGGATTTTTATCCAAGCAAGGACTGTCACTTTAGCAATATTCTCCGCAAAAATATTCCACAAAGTACTTTTTGGTGGAAAAAGTCCTGGTTCTTTCGATATAAAGATTCGACAGTCGCGTGAACCTTTAGATTTTAGTCGCCTGTTACAACAGGTCTGCCTTATATTGTATATATGTAATATAATTGGCACTTTGTAACCACTGGAGCGATTTTTCAGCCAAGGCTCCTCCTCCAATTGGGGTTTTGCTTCTTGATGTTTTTCCAACAAACGGATTGACCTACAGTTTATACTAAGCCGCCTCCGAACGGCTGATGGATGTTTTGCGAGGAGGGGTGGACATTCCCTGCTGAGGGCCGACCGCAATTAGAATATTTGACTCAATTTTTTATTTAAATTAACTTTTCATAACATTTTGGATGTGGATGGCACCGGGATTTGAACCCGAGCCTTCGGTGTGTCAGTAAGCAATGTAACCACTCGGCTACCGGGACCGCCTTACAGCGGGCAAATTCTTTAACCTCTCCCCGCAGTATAGATTACTTATTGAGCCATATGTGCTGACAGTCTAAAGGGCTAACTTGTAAATTGTTAATTCTATGACAGCCAATTTATATTGGATTGCCAGAGATCTTTTCCCAAGTGATAACAGAGCGGCTCGCAATAAATTTAGTGCATGGAATGATATATAAATATATGACGAAATGGGTTTACGGAGCAAACACTATGTCAGAGCTCTGTACAATAAGGATAATTAGTCACTGCTTTAAATTTTCTAAAATTTTAGAATTTTCCTTCGTCGTATACCAAGCGACGGTTCGCTGAATGAGTCCAATGGGAACAGTATTAAAGCAGCTTAAATTCTAATATTAATATATTTAAAGATGATGGAATGTTATAGTACTCAATTGATTTTATATATTTTTTTTTTACTTTTTTATTTATACTATTTAAATTTTTTTAGTGAAAATGCTGCGTTTAAATTTTAATTTTTTTATGTACAAACATACATATTTATATATTTTGAGAACACATTTTTTACAATTGGATTTTAATTTACAAACAATCAAATTTTAAATTCGTCTCAATATTGGACACAACTTTTTCATGAACCACCATATTTAATAAAAATGAATTAGTAAATTAAATTTTTGTTATAGATCATTAACGAAAAATTCTATTGTGATCTTTAGGTATGATTCGTGACTTCACTTTTTCCGACGGACTTTTCTTTCGGTAATTTCTTTCACGTTCCGAACTCACTACTCAACGCGAGCCTGCAGCAATAATCTAATATTTTGATTATACGGTGATCGTTTAATTTAATTTTTGGTTAAAAAATTATTTTTATTTTTTTGTTTTTCAATTTCAACACTTTTTAACTACGCTGTACATGCACATACATACATACATACATACATATGCGTTGGTTTGTGAATAATTAATATTTTATTTTTGTTTGTTAATTATAATTATTTAAATAAAAGTGTTTCTTACTAAACAAAATTTAATCTCAAAATATGAATAAAGTGTAATATGGTTAATGGTTGTTAATGCACTAATCGTCTGGCGATTGATGATTTGATCTGAAGCACTTGCGAAAGTATCAGACTGCAATTAAACAATACTCAAGTATGTATGTATGTATGTATATATGTATGTATGTATGTATGTATATAGTAAGATGTTATTATATAAAAGTGCAAAATAAGAATTCTCCAGCATACATGGACAAACATACAAATCAACATGGAGATGCATGCATAAACTCTTATACATATGTACATATATATATAAAAAAAATCATATTATATGTATGTATTTTTGAGCAATTGTAATAAGCCTTCGCTTGCATTTTCGCTATAGCCTACAATTAGGTACTTTATATACATATCATATGTAAGTATGTGCATATGTATTTAAAATTTGCATGCATACATATTTACAATTATGGTATATAATTGGTGTTCGCATATTCGCTCAGCACTCGAATACTGCTTGTTATTGGTTGTTATTTTCATGCAAATAAAACAAAATCATTAATCTGCCCTTAAATGTGCCCTACATTCCGTTGCATCAATTGCTAATTGCTAAAATAATAGTTGCTAAAGCGGCATACATATTTATATACGTACAGCTTATCATTAATATACTTACATACATATTTATGTATTAAAAATTAGTTTAAAAACTGATAAGCAAAATAGATTGTAGTTGATCATATTTAAATGTTTTTCCTATTTCAATATTACTATGTACATATTTATATACATACTAAGCGTACATGTGTAATTTTATGGAAAATAAATTTAATGTAAAAACATGCAATTAGCGATACGGTAAGCGGAAAACAGCTAGGCTTGATAAAGTATTTTAAATTATTTCAAATTTATTTTTAATATGAATAAATGTATTTTTTTTATTTATTACCAAATTGATAAAAACTGATAAAACTGACATAAAAGTTAATTATATTTTATTTATTTCATTTTACTTCGCCTTTTACCTAAGACATGTGTATAGTTTTTCGTTTTATTTTATATCAACTTCGTTAATTTATATTTTTAATTGATTATTATTTGTTATTTATTATACAGAGCATTTACAAGTGAGATTTGATAATGTAAATACTTTCTACTATGCAACCATTGATGGGTTAGAACTTATTATTTCGGGGAAAATTGAAAAAAACCCATAGACTTATTAATTGATTTCTAAAATATAAATACAATGTACTAATTCTATATACAAAGGGAAAGAAATAATGCCTCAGCTATCATTTTGATGAAAATGTGTTATTTTTTGCAAAAATTATGGCGTTCAATTTTCTTTTTCACAATTTTCCATCGATTGGCTATAGAAGGATTAAGATTTGGCGAAATGTCCACTTTATTTTTCTGGAAACAGAATTTGTATTTTACTTATATACATACAGCCTTGGCCAAAAGTGTTGGGTACCCCACTAAAATATAAGTATTCTCAAATGTAGCTACTATTTCTTCTTGTAAATGTCTTACACGTATGTTTAACTGTTGATTAAACGAATAAATTGTGTAATATTAAAAGTCATAGCACTCTGGGAAGCTAAATCTAAAAAATGTCATTTTTAAGGAATTCATAAAATATTTTCGCATTTCAAATTTGAAAGTGAAAGTGTAAAATACATTTAGTGAAAAGTTACCAGTTTTATAAAATCAGTTCATATTTACCGAAATGCGTAAAAAAAGTGAAATTATTTATGATGATAGAGTTAGAATTCAAGTTCTAAGTGAAGAAGGTAAGCCTCAGGTTGAGATTGTCAATTTGGTGAGATTTTCGCGGTGCGCGGTCCAATGTGTTAACAGGCGATTTTTGGAGACGAAATCCCACAATAATAAATCAAAAACCAGTCTAACCAGTAAACGAGAAGACCAAATACTTATATACGCGAGTCTCTCAAGGATCGCATAAAATCTTTTTCTGCCCTTTCGGATGAATTTAATAAACCAGTTAGTGCTCGAATCGCTAGAAGAAGACTTCTGGAAGCAGGTTCAAAAGAATATAAAGCCCGAAAGAAGCCATGGCTCTCAGCAAAGAATAGGAAAAATCTTTTGGAATGGGCTCGCCGATACCAACATTTTACGGAAGAAGATTCGTCGTATGTTCCCTGGTCTGATGAATCAAACTACTAGGTAAGCTTAGTTATGATCGTCTTAAAGTATAGCTTCTTACCCTTGAGCAATTTTGAAAACATAATACAAATCTTATGAAAACATTCTTTTTTATTTTCTACAGATATTTTTAACACCTGCTGTGACTTTCATGAGAAAACGGGTTGAGGAAGAATATCATCCAGATTGCGTGGTACCCACGCTTAAACATGGAGGAAGCAGCATTATGATCTAGGGCTGCGTTTGCGAGGGTTGCATGGACAGTCCAAAGTACAGAAATGTATTAGAAGATTTTCTTCTGCCTTCGTTAACGCGCATTTTCGGCTCTACTAATTTAGACGGGGTTCAATTTCAGCAAGACAATGCTCCTTGTCACAAATCAGCGACTACGATGAGTTGGCTTAGAGATAACAACATTGTTTTATTAAATTGGCCTGCACAGTATCCAGATCTTATCCCATTGAGCACATGTGGGCTATTTTAAAACGCAAGATTAAGGAACGCAGTGTATCATCAAAAACTGCCTTAAAGAATGCCTTAATTACGCTATAAGTGCGGACGAATTTGCAAAGCTTGTACGCAGCATGCCTAAGAGAATTGCTGCCCTTATTAAATCGAAGGGTGGACCTACTAAATATTAATGTTATTATCACTAATTCATTGTATTTTCACTGTTTTACTAATAAAACTTCATTACTTTACTTGTTAAAACAAAAAGTTCAGTAATTAGTATGATGCCTAATCCAAGGCTGTACATATTTATATACATACTAAGCGTACATGTGTAATTTTATGGAAAATAAATTTAATGTAAAAACATGCAATTAGCGATACGGTAAGCGGAAAACAGCTAGGCTTGATAAAGTATTTTAAATTATTTCAAATTTATTTTTAATATGAATAAATGTATTTTTTTTTTAATTTATTACCAAATTGATAAAAACTGATATAACATAAAAGTTAATTATATTTTATTTATTTCATTTTACTTCGCCTTTTACCTAAGACATGTGTATAGTTTTTCGTTTTATTTTATATCAACTTCGTTAATTTATATTTTTAATTGATTATTATTTGTTATTTATTATACAGAGCATTTACAAGTGAGATTTGATAATGTAAATACTTTCTACTATGCAACCATTGATGGGTTAGAACTTATTATTTCGGGGAAAATTGAAAAAAACCCATAGACTTATTAATTGATTTCTAAAATATAAATACAATGTACTAATTCTATATACAAAGGGAAAGAAATAATGCCTCAGCTATCATTTTGATGAAAATGTGTTATTTTTTGCAAAAATTATGGCGTTCAATTTTCTTTTTCACAATTTTCCATCGATTGGCTATAGAAGGATTAAGATTTGGCGAAATGTCCACTTTATTTTTCTGGAAACAGAATTTGTATTTTACTTATATACATACAGCCTTGGCCAAAAGTGTTGGGTACCCCACTAAAATATAAGTATTCTCAAATGTAGCTACTATTTCTTCTTGTAAATGTCTTACACGTATGTTTAACTGTTGATTAAACGAATAAATTGTGTAATATTAAAAGTCATAGCACTCTGGGAAGCTAAATCTAAAAAATGTCATTTTTAAGGAATTCATAAAATATTTTCGCATTTCAAATTTGAAAGTGAAAGTGTAAAATACATTTAGTGAAAAGTTACCAGTTTTATAAAATCAGTTCATATTTACCGAAATGCGTAAAAAAAGTGAAATTATTTATGATGATAGAGTTAGAATTCAAGTTCTAAGTGAAGAAGGTAAGCCTCAGGTTGAGATTGTCAATTTGGTGAGATTTTCGCGGTGCGCGGTCCAATGTGTTAACAGGCGATTTTTGGAGACGAAATCCCACAATAATAAATCAAAAACCAGTCTAACCAGTAAACGAGAAGACCAAATACTTATATACGCGAGTCTCTCAAGGATCGCATAAAATCTTTTTCTGCCCTTTCGGATGAATTTAATAAACCAGTTAGTGCTCGAATCGCTAGAAGAAGACTTCTGGAAGCAGGTTCAAAAGAATATAAAGCCCGAAAGAAGCCATGGCTCTCAGCAAAGAATAGGAAAAATCTTTTGGAATGGGCTCGCCGATACCAACATTTTACGGAAGAAGATTCGTCGTATGTTCCCTGGTCTGATGAATCAAACTACTAGGTAAGCTTAGTTATGATCGTCTTAAAGTATAGCTTCTTACCCTTGAGCAATTTTGAAAACATAATACAAATCTTATGAAAACATTCTTTTTTATTTTCTACAGATATTTTTAACACCTGCTGTGACTTTCATGAGAAAACGGGTTGAGGAAGAATATCATCCAGATTGCGTGGTACCCACGCTTAAACATGGAGGAAGCAGCATTATGATCTAGGGCTGCGTTTGCGAGGGTTGCATGGACAGTCCAAAGTACAGAAATGTATTAGAAGATTTTCTTCTGCCTTCGTTAACGCGCATTTTCGGCTCTACTAATTTAGACGGGGTTCAATTTCAGCAAGACAATGCTCCTTGTCACAAATCAGCGACTACGATGAGTTGGCTTAGAGATAACAACATTGTTTTATTAAATTGGCCTGCACAGTATCCAGATCTTATCCCATTGAGCACATGTGGGCTATTTTAAAACGCAAGATTAAGGAACGCAGTGTATCATCAAAAACTGCCTTAAAGAATGCCTTAATTACGCTATAAGT